AAGCCTTTACTCAAGTAAATCTCCCATGGATAGGCCTGAGTAAGGAGTACAGGAACTCGGCCTTTAATTTAACTGGTTAGGGGGGAAAATAAATTCCCCTTTTAGAGTTAATAACTCAGGTCATAGCCAGCTTTATTTCATGCATTTATCACATACTAGGCAAATACTATAACTTGCACATTTCAGTATTGGAGAGAACCTCTTCCACAATAGATACATTTAAAAGAGAGTGAAGTTTACATTTTTTAAAAATCAAGGTGATAAAGTACCTTTTTGCTTTGATGTACAGCCTATACTTGTATAGGTTATTTAACTACAAAACCCTGCCTTGCAATAACAGTTGTAGCCTAGACTGGCAGAAGCAAAGAAGGACTTTTAGCAGTTGGGCTGTCACCTCACTTTTAACTTACTCTTATGTGAAGCCATCTCAGAATAATGGAAGATAATACCTATGATATGTGCTCCCAGAACTGCCATAAGGGTGGAGGAGTGGCAGCCTTAGCTCCAAAGTCCCTTGCTTTTAAGTGAAGCCCTCTCCTTCGACTGTGTGTGTGGTGTTCATGTTTCACAGTGTTGTGCCATATTGTGTAGGTTCTGTTTTCTGCCATCTCCACTGAGGTATAACTCCAGCAAGTCCCATTGCAGTGTGCATGGTTCTCCAGGGATAATAAAGCTGATCATTGACAGGATTAGCTGCTAGCTAGCAGGACTTTGCATAGAAGGAAACCAGTATGTTTTCCGGAGCCATTTATAATGTCAGCGTCTTTGCTGTGAAGGTGTCTAGTGAGCAGCCTGTGCATTCCTACGCTGTTGCAGTTGTGGATAGCTGCTGATTATTTTCCTTGTTTAAAAATCCTTTTAACTTCTATATTTCAGGCAGGAAAGCTTGTTACCTGGCTTTCTAGCCTCGTTATGGCATCTTAGATATTTGCTGGTGATCAAAGGCACAGCTGGATTTCTATTTCAGTACCATCCCATTTCTGTGCAACAGGAGCAGACTATTAGACATTGCAGTGGGCGGTGTGGCTGCTGTGCCCTGTTCAGTGGAGTCACTTGTGGGAGAAGAGGACAGTAGTGCTGATCATAACTCCACAGGAATGAAGACATCTCCCTCCTGTGGAATTAGTTACTGGGGGGATGTAAAACCCCCCACAAAACTGTGGCCACCATCCTCCCCTTACTTCTGCAAAGAAGAGCTCAGACCCACAGATCTGACCCTTGGGGCATAGAAGGAGAGGTAGATAATGGCTCTCTAGCGTGCTTCCCTTTCTCCTTACCATGCAGAACCCCCCTCGGATGGCTCTGTGGCATTCCAGTTTAGCTGTTGGGGTGCTTATTGGGGGGGGAATGAGAGAAGGAAGGGGCCTTGCTCCAGCAAAATCTCCCCCACCCAAGTCAGCAGGGGAAGCCAACATGAGTTCCTATAGAGCACTTCCTCCTCTGCACATTTGGAGAATACAAATACAAACACACATCCGGGGAGAGATTCTAGGGGAAGCTCCTGGCAGCATGGCTCTTGTCAGCATTGTCCAGGGGACTCGGCAAGATGAGGAGAGGCTGGGCAGCAGTGTCGAGTCAGAGGTTATTCACAGAGATGTCCGTTACCTTCATCAGATCTCTAGAGACCTGCAACTGTCTCCTGGAGCCTTTTAGCTTCTTCGGTGGTAGGGGACCCCTCCTCTCTTCAGGAGAACTAATAGGAAATGTCACAAGTAGCACTTCTTGCAGTTTCCAGTCCACATGCAGGTTATTCCTTCTCAGGGGAGAATGGGACCCTGAGTTAGAAGAACATAATTCTCTTAATCGCCACTTAAATGTGCCCAGTGGTGCCACTAGGGTGACCATCTTGAGCCATATTCCAGTGAAATCCGGGGGAGTTGTATATGATCCATGTAGAGCACACAGCAATGGGGTGTATAAGAATATCACCAGTGGTGGTACACATGCGCTGTTTTGCTTTTTCAATATTCCTGCTTCCATTAAAATAATAATCATCATCTCTAGCTTTCCCAGTGCCAGTTGAAAGCCAAGCTACCTCTTAAAATATTTATTTTTTAAATAGCCGGGTTTTTAAGTAGAGCAATTTTTAGGAATTTATTTAATGATGAAATTAATTGGCGACATGGATTAAGAAACAAAATCCTATCCAGCCAGACCTGGTCTGTTTACCAAGTTTCAGTCCAATACAGATTACAGCAAGCCAAATTACGATCTGGGAAAACATGGTTTTAATGGCAGCGGCAGCTAAAACCTAATTAACACGTCACTGCCATGTAATACACAGTGATTTGCTATTAACTCCTTGGGACAGCTGAAGGGCATTCTCCTGGCAGAGGAAATATGAAGTGAAAAAGCCACAGGGCTCTTTTTATTTGCAGTTTTATTTCAAAGCACAAGTGAAAGTTGTGTTTCGTTGATTTCTTCCTGAATGATCATTAAGTAATTACAACCAATGGAACACCAACATCTCTAGGCTTCTTTTAACCTTCTCTGAAAACCACCACCCCTTACTGCTGGGGATCAGAATGGCTTTTTAAAACTGTTGGCTCCCGTATCATCACCAGTGAGAAGATAAGGGGGACAGTAAATGCACTGACTTTAAAGAGGTCACTGTTTATTCCCTGCTCCTCAGCCTTAGTATTCATCATCATCATCATAATTTCTTGCCTTTTTGTAAAGCGCTTTAATCTCAAAGAATCCCACCGCAAACGTGTGATTTACAGACGTAACCGATTCAGTTCTACTCGGCGGTCACTTCGCCCACCACTGAAATGCAGCCCACCTGTGGGGCAAAATGTGACTGCACAGCCACTGTATACAACAGCTTAGGGAGAGCGCAAGCGGAAAATGGTGGTGGTGGGAGAAAGTGCAGGGGTGACTCAGAGTCTGTGTACAGAAAGTTGTCCCCGGATTTGGGATATGGCTAGGTTACTAGGATTAATATCCCATAGCTCACTTTATAATTTTCCTGCCGTTGCAGGGGCCTCAGGCATTGGTAGCAACTTGCTCCCTCCTGTTCTCTGCCTGAGGACTGAAATGCCTTAGGGTATGTCTGCCCTGCAATGTAAACCCAGGGTTAGTGTGACTCAGAGACTTTAAGGTCAGAAGGGACCATTATGATCATCTAGTCTGACCTCTTGCACAACGCAGGCCACCGAATCTCACCCACCCACTCCTGTAACAAACCCCTAACCTATGTTTGAGTTATTGAAGTCCTCAAATCGTGGTTTCGAGTCAGCTGACCCACATTAGGGAACCCTGGGCTTGAGCATCTACATTGTATTTTAACCCTGTGTTAAGAATTTTCTGACCCATGCTTGAACCTAGGGCTCTGGTGTCCACAATGCAGTGCATAGACCCGAGTCAAAGTAACTCTGTCCCACAGTCTCTAGTGCTCCCTCTGCCCCCCAAAGTATGGTTGGTCTAGCCCTCGGACTGTGCTGCACGTTATCCGGAAGCAGCTGGCTTTGCAACAGGCTTGATGGGTTCGTTCTCCGTTGCAAACCCAGGAAGCTCTCTGATCGCGTGCTTGCAAATCGGTGATCGGAACACAATGGGTTAACGCTGACCTGAGCTGCTGTCGTGGCTTCCATTTTCAGCAGAGTGCATTGCAGGTTGTTGGGATAGAGCGGGCTAAGGAAGTTGTCCCATGGAATTGTGGGATACTTCCGGCTCACTCCTGGGACCTGAGTCAAGTGGGGCTGTGTCTATGCTGCAAAGCAATAGAGCTCAGACCCTGGGTCCCGGCTTAACTCGAGCTTGGACCCTCCAGCCCTCTAGAGTCTTGGGACCTGGGTCCGAGCCCTGTGTAGACACAAGGGGAGTTAGGCTTGAGCCTGGGCTCCAGCATGGACTTACATTTCAATGTAGACATACCCTCAGTGAGACCCAGGTTATTGGACCCAACACAGGACTAACTGGGTGAAATTTAATGGCCTCTAATATACAGGAGGTCAGGCTAGATGATCTGATGGTCCCTTCTGGCCTTAAACTCTATGAAATATATTAAATAACCTACTGCCTCATAAATTGCAATGGAATCTGAGTGACTGCCGATCGTCAGAACCTTGGCCTTGCATCTCCCTTGAGAGGTCGCCTCCAGCCGTGTATTGCTGCTGCACTGACTGAGAGGGAAGAGTGCCCCCTGCTGAATCGCCAGCAGCACCGCTGGCAGCACGTAGGTGTTCTTGGAGGTCTCTCATCCAAATCCTTATTCAGCCCAACCTTGCTGAACTCGTGAGGGATGACCAACAGGATTGCAGCACCAGATCAAAATGTGGTGCTGTATTACAGCTGTGCCGTCTGGTTTTGTGTAGTGCCAGCCCTTTAGAAAACAGCTGAAGGGGTTTATACACGTGCTATTGATATATCACAAGTGGAATAAAATGACGTTTGAGCTCAGTATTAAATGAAAATTGTTTAGTATTTTCCTATATTATTAATCCAATTTTTGTTAAATTTGAGACACTAGATTTATGCATTAGCCAAATGTGGATGCCCTTATTAAATTATATACAACCAGGTTCTGTTTCCGTTGGCCAAATAACCTGTTTAATATTGTACTGAAAAGGGATGGTCTTGTCCAGACCGGGTGCAGGGGTGCCGTTGTTACGGACTCCAGCTACAATAGGGTTCAATAACTGCGGTTTGTAAATCCCCTGTACCCTGATTCATCCTGCCCTTGATTAACCATTGATGTGCCCACAACAGTCATGGTTGCTTCAACTTCCCAATTCATCCAGCAGACTGAAGAATGACCTTGAGTCCCATTATGTCTCTAAACACAGACTTTTCAGTATAACAATTTAAGGATATTTCATGTTTAGGAGGAAAACCTTACTGCAGGCTAACAAAAGCCTCAGTTTTCAGCCTCTGATTTATTATGCACAGAATGTGGCTAACCTAACCATGTAACCCGGAAACATTCTCAAGGTATCCGAGTTGGGTTTTATGTATTTAACTTTTCAATTCAGGAAATGTAAATTCTGCAGCTGCAACATGGCCACCTTCGTGCACATGTCGTATTTTCTGTTGCAGTATAGGGTGTTAACATTAATTTAATACCTTTCTAGGCCTGATTCTCAGTTACATTCACTGCTGTGGCAGAGCAAAGGCACCTTAAAAGGGGTATAACCCACTCTGCCAGTGTGGTGTAAGGGCCTTCGTGTAATCAAGAATGAAGACCTAAATGTTTGTGTAATGTGGCTGATTTCCTGGATCAATACGTTTGTATTTCCTCTCATTTGTGCTTTAAAGTGTCAATTGTCACATTGCGTTGATGTGATGTATTTATTTTTAATTTGCATTTCTTAGTCTTATTTTAAAATAGAGAAGAATTTTGATACAGTGATGGAAATCAGTGAGATTGTTCTTGCAGCAGGGTAATACTCTGTTGCTGAAAAAGCCTTTTTGAGGGAAATTTTACACCAATAGGATTTTTAAACGAATGGGTGACTCAACATACTTTTGACATTCACAAATGAAAATAATTGGATTTCCTTGCTAACTGTGGAGAAGCATTGTCAGAAGAGTAACAGTGTGAAAGACAGATTATCTGTGCCTGTTTGATTTGGGAGTGTTTCAGAAATGAATCTGTAAATGAACCGCTGTTCAGAGCTGAGTGGTGTTTCGATGGACCTAATTTAAAGTAACTGGTACTTTATTTTTTTTATTTCTTAGCAACTCCGGTCCCAAGCTCGTGCACTGATAACGTTTGCTGGAATGATCCCCTACAGAACGTCAGGAGACACGAATGCAAGACTGGTGCAGATGGAGGTCCTTATGAATTAGCACAGATGCTTTCAGTTAGAACTGTAGCATCATCCCCTTCCTGTCATTAGTTCTTTAAAAGGATGGGCCCAATATCATTTTGTATCCTGTATTTTTGTCGATGAAAATAAATTTCTTTGGTTTATATTTGTTTTTGACATCTTTTTATTTTCACTGATTTGTATTTTTTATTCATTTTTTTTTTAAATTGCTTTATAGAAAAACATGCTTTAAGTAAATGGGCCATACGGAGAGAGATGTGGTAGCTTTTATTTTTAGAGAGGTCAATAAACTACTGTATAGTACAATCAGGAAGTGACAGAGGAAGCTTTTAATGGCAATGCAGTTTTCTCTGAATTGAGCATTTAATAACCACACAGCTTGGAAATCTTAACCTTTTCGGGTTTCTTTGAAAAATGAAGGTAATTTAAAAGTTGAAAATATGTATATGTACTTTGCATTACATAAGAGATGCTGTACATAGCATACATTGTTCTCTCGTGAATAACTATATACCTTTATATGCTGCAGTTCAGCTTTACATAGAACAGGTAGGCTTGGCCGAACTAGATTTTTATTTTTTATCGTTTTGATTAATAATATCAATGTTTATTTTTTGTATTTTTAATTTTTATCAATTTAAATGTTCACAGTTGCAGGACATTGAGTTTTAAGCACATTTGTCAATTTCTACCTATTTTGAATTTTCACAGTTGCAGGAAATTGGGGTGGGGGGGAAGGTCAGACAATAATTATTTAATGACCTCAGATACCTCGATTTTAAAGAATCAAAGCTTTCTAACACAAATTGTCAACATCCCTTCAAAATGTACAAAGTAAATATCCTTAAATCAAACTATAATAAGTTCTCAAGCAGCATTTTCCTTACTTTGCCTATCTGTAAATTTAGATTATCAATGGAAATATTTTTTTCATGGGTTACTGTGTATGGTGAAATTGATGTTTACCGACATTTTACTGATAAAAATCGAATCCTTCCAAGCCTAAGGATAGGTGGCATAAATTGACCCTTCAGAGGAGGTTTAAAATATGAGGCCAGATTCTGAGCTACGCTGGTGGAGATCCAATCTAACTGCACTGAAGTCTTTGCAGGAATCAGTGAGGTTTCCAAAGAAAAATAGAAACTATTGTAACTGATTCAACAGGACGCTATTTCAGAAAAAGATTGGAACAGAAGAGTCTCACTAAATACCAGTCACTTTTTAGCCAGTCAAGACTTCAGGTTGCCATGACACAGTGTACAATTTACCCCCAGGATGGAATGCTAGAGATCTGAAAGAGGAAGACCAAAATGTTCAAATGTGGGTGTCTGACGCAGGGTACAGTTCCAGTGTAGCAAGTACCCACAATTCCCACTGTCATCACTGAGAGTTCTGGGTGCTTAACACCTTTGAAAATCAGTGTCTCAGTGTGGATTTTAGGTGACTAAACTTAGGCACCCAAGTTTGAAAATGTTGACTGAAGTGTGTCATCAGGAAGGTCCAGGGATTGGATTGTATGAAAACTCTCTGTCTAAAATACACTTGTATATAGCTGCCTATCCGTCTTAAAAATGGAATGGGACGGATACTAGCTCTTAGCCTTTTTGCTCCTGGTCCTCCATAGCACCTGCTGTGTAGCTTTTCGGATCATGGAAATGTCAGGACATATATGGTTAGAAGCACAGGAGGTGTGTTTCAAAGCGATGATCCAACAGTCAAGAGGTTAATACACAGAATAGTACCAGCTTTCCCATCTCAATGCCCAGGATGGGAAGAACTGGTTTCCCATTTTGCATCACTGTGTATGATTTGTAACGCATGTAGAGGGATATATAAACACACTGCTAGTTGCTGTTCTGAATGATTTACAAACTGTTGGGTCAGATTTTTCTAACCACCTTTTACTAAGTCTTTGTTATGCCTAATTTTGTCAACTTTTCTTCGCTTGACAAGAAACCACAAGACAGCACGCAGGGGGAGATTTAGTCCTGGGGAATTCTAGACTGTGGCACTAACCTGTTAGAAAGATGACTGTTACGTTTGTAGTGCTATACAAATGATCAATACCAGTATGTGGCGCTCTACAAAGTATGACACGTTCTCTGGCCTGAAGAGTGTAAAGTGTAAGAGAGGACAGGAGGAGGCATAAGATGAGAGCACAGGTAAGGGAGGGGATGTTGAGATACCTAAATGTTATTGGGGGCTTGTCTACACTTCCCGGGGGATTGACGCGTGGCAATCGATACATCGATGGTAGATTTAGCGGGGCTAGTGAAGACCCGCTAAATCGACCACAGATTGCTCTCCCGTCGACTCCTGTATTCCATCGGAACGAGAAGAGTGAGGGGAGTCGACGGGAGAGCATTTCCTGTCAACATAGCATAGTGTGGACCCCGCGGTACATAGATCTAAGCTATGTCGATTTGAGTCACGCTACTAACGTAACTCAAATTGCGTAGCTTAGATCGACTTTCACACATAGTGATGAGAAGGCCTGGAGGATGTATTGGAGTGATCCTATGTACCAGCTAACTGCCTGCATCATGATTTCATAATGAAAAAAATCATCGCTAATTCAACATGAAAATCTCCAGTCTTTAATATTTCTGGTATGTTTGGGCATTTCCTGATATGACCCACTTCACCACTTAGTCTGATCTGCTAAAGAGCACAGGGCTGAAAACGACACGAGAGTGGAGCATCTTTTCTCAAGCCGGCTGTTTAATAATCATTGACCGAATTATTTCACTTGTGTTTTTTCAGGTGAAGTCCAGTCCCCTCTCTCTTCCTTCCCCAATTCTCCACCTGTCTGTACGTCAGCAAGTGCACTGACAGGACGTCCTTAGTCGTTACCTTCTAACACCCTATGTAATATAGGACCCAAGGAACCATGCCTTGTCTGAGGCAGCACTGGAACTGCTCCCTCTCCGAAGAGATCACCTTGAGAGGACCAGGGCTTTTTCCTGAAGGGCCTGCTTGTTTATAATTCCACCCCCTCGGTTATTTGCATTGGTGCATCTTTACGGTGGGATGGAAGACTTCCCAATGCTTGTTTTTATTACTGTAGTTTCCAATGCATGTTTATCTTGGTGGCTTGTGTGTTACCTGTTCCCACTCTGGTTAGCTAGTAAGCCATGTTATTTTATTGGTGTAATTTTGTTCTTGAATTTGGATGATTAAAGGACTCTTGGTCCTTTGTACAGCTGATGATTGTTTTTTCAAACCTGATCTATTAGGATGCTGTTGCAGAGGCATCCCATAGATATGGGGGAAGTGGTAGATGTGATATATTTTGATTTTAGTGAGGATTTTGACAGAGTGCCATGTGACAGTCTCTTAAGCAAAGTAGGGAAATGTGGTCTAGATGAAATTACTATAAAGTGGGGGCACAACTGGCTGAAAGACCTTAGTCAAAGAGTAGTTATCAATGGTTTGCTGTCAAACTGGGAGGATGCATCTCCTGGGGGTCCCAGAGGGATCAGTTCTGGTACTATTCAATATTTTCATTAATGGATAATGGAATGCAGAGTATGCTTAGAAAATCTGCGGATGACACCAGCTGGGAGGGGTTGCAAGCACTCTAGAGGCCAGGAATAGAATTCAAAATGTTAGAAAAATTGGTCTGAAATTCAATAAAGACAAATGCATTTTTAGGAAGGAAAAACCTGATGCAGTTACACAATGGGAAATAACTGGCTAGATGGTAGTCCTGCTGAAAGGGATTTGGGGATTAGAGTGGATCACAAATGGAAAATGAGTCAACAATGTGATGCAGTTGCTAAAAAGCTAATTTGATTCTGGGGTGTATTAACAAGAGTGTCCTATATTGTCCCACTCAACTCAGCACTGGTGAGGCCTCGGCTGGAGTACTGTGCTCAATTCTGGGTGCCGCACTTTAGGAAAGATGTGGACAATTTGGAGAGAGTCCAGAGGAGAGCAACAAAAATGATCAAAGCTTTAGAAAACCTGACCTGAGAGAAAAAGTTAAAAAACTGGGTATGTTTAGTCTTGAGAAAAGACTGAGATGAGGATCTGATAAGTCTTCAAATATGTTAAGGGCGGTTATAAAGAGGATGGTGATCAATTGTTCTCCTTGTCCCTTGAAGGTAAATAATGGGATTGATCTGCAGCAAGCGGGACTCAGGTTAGATATTAGGAAAAACTCTCTAACTCTCAGGATAGTTAGGCTCTGGGACAGGCTTCCAAGGGAAGTTGTGGAATCCCCGTCCCTGTAAGTTTGTTAAGAACAAGTTGGACAAACAGGGATGGTCTAGGTTTCCTTGGTCTTGCCTCAGTGAAGGAGGCTGGACTTGATGACTTTTCAAGATCCCTTCCAGCTCTACATGGCTATGATCTCACAGCCTGAACACGAAATAATTACCAAAAAACAGACCCATTGAAGCAAACCTCATTTTAAGCTGCTCCTTCCATGACATAGTGGCTGTAACTCCTGCCTCTGTGGCCTCTTAAGCAAAAGCTGGGCTGAAACAGGGATGCCTTGCGCTGTGCTCTAATAGCCCACAAGCCCTGTCTCTAGGGCACTGACAGGGAAATGGATCCCATAAATGAAGACCCTTGGCTAAGAAAACATGGTGCTAACCCTGGAAAGCTCCATCCTAGCACTCAACACTAGCAGAGTCCTAGTTGGTTGCAGGGCATAGGCAATTTGGGACACCCTGCTTGTTGCTCTTTTTGTAAATCTGCTCTTGCAGGAGGCTAGCAGACGATCACGGATGTCCATGCCAAGGGTGGTTTTGCCCACGTTTCCAGATCCCACCTTCCTCCAGTCAGGGATTGATATCATTGATGGGAGGGCGGCATAGACCTAAGTGGAGGGCTTTCGTTTTCCATTCCCTTTGCTTTCCACGGGCCCGGTAGTTCTCAAGGAAGGGAAAAGCACCTCCCGGTCTCTTCTCCCATCCGTGCCCAGTGCAGGTGGTGCTAATTCCTGTACAATAAATCTCCTTTATGTTCCCAGGACAGCAGACTCTGTGCCTTGTCCACTGTGCCGTATTCTGTACCTAGTAAATCCATCTCTGCTCTGCCACAAATAAGTGCATTGCTGCATAGGGTGGGGCTTTAGCTGCTTTGCTGAATCAGGCCCTAGTGGCTCTCCATCTGTTACTCTGCTGTGAACATTTGA